ACAAGCAAAGCACAGAAGATCTTTTGGGCCATACAACTTTCCTAAGGGCTGGCCCAGTGGCGTAACTGTGGGGAGCAAACCGGACTAGACTGAGTTACTGGAATTAAGACTTATTCTATGCATCTGCTCTCCCACAATATGGCGCTGGGAGAGAAGTAAACAGTTTCCGCACAGCTGCCTCCAGTTCAACCAATAAACTGTAGGACTTGCTCCTGATTGGAGAGCAGCGTACTCGGCATGTGGGCAGCCGAGTTAGGATTGGCGGAGGAGGACTATAAAGGAGGAGAGAGACGGCATTCACGGGGAACATCTATGGGGAACATCTAGCTGAAGGAACACCTGTGCAGCCCCCGAGTAGAGCCGGCTGGCGGTGTGCCGCTCCCCTGCGGAAGTGGGGAATGTGGCCAGGGGGAACTGCCCTTCCACGGAGGTGGAAGGGATAGTAGCCAACCCGGGAAGAACCAGCAGCAAACCCGGGGAGGGCCGAGCAGACGAAAGAACAGCGCAGGGTCCTGTGTCGTTCCTCCACGAAGAGGGGGAGCGACATAATGGTGCCGTGACTCGGATAGGAAACCTAGCTCGGATAGGAAACCTAGAATGGATAGGAAACTTAGGACGGATATGAAACTTAGGAGGGAAGAAACGGGAAGAACTGGGAAAATATCGGAGAGAGAGACTAGCAAACAGCCTAGGGAAAATATCGGAGAGAGAGACTAGCAAACAGCCTAGGGAAAATATCGGAGAGAGAGACTAGCAAACAGCCTAGGGAAAAGCCGGACGAGAAAGGTGCCGGAAGAAGCTATTGAAAGCCTAGGCATAGACTCAGATACGGACTACGGGGCGGGGAAGCTGGGAGAAATCTCTAAGGTCGAAAGCGAAAGTGAAAGCTAGAACAAACAGACTCGGATACGGACTGTGGGGAGAGGCCAGGAGAAATGAAGGAGGAATATTGTTGGAGGAAAGCTTGGGGAAACATACCGGGTAGAGAAAAATGTTAGGGAAATTGAAGCCGTGGGGGGCAGGCCAAGGCGGACACGAAAGCCACTTTGGGATTCTCAAGTTAGCCCGGGAATAGGGGGCGAAAAGTTGAAACCAGAAGCTGAAACGTAAGCCAGATTGGGATCCGTCTGATTAGCCCAGGGAGCAAAGGACGGGAAGCCAAACCGTGGGGCGGAGACGTAAGCTGGGTTGAATTCGCCAGGCTAGCCCGGGGAACTTAGATTGAATGCTAGTGGCGGACACGTAAGCTACGCTGTGTGACTCGCGGAAGCCGCCGCGTGCAGAGAGAGCACGGGGCGTGAATAGATAGGGAACGGGGCTGGCGCGAGGCCGTGGTTCAGACGCGAAAGGGTTAAGTGCGAGACTGCGGAGTGTGCGCGCAAAGCGGGCTGAAGCGGCTCAGCCGGAAAGCCGCGGAGAAATAGCCTCGGGGCGGAGCCTGCCGGCAGGGCAAGGCGCCGGGAAGCTGCGGGGATAAGAGAAACAGAAGTTTAGAAGTAAAGTGAGAGAAATAGGAATGCTGGAAGATGGAAGTAAAATGGGAGAAGTAGGAATGCCCGGAGATAGAGAAATAGAGAAATAGAAAGGCCTCCCCTCAACATGGCAGTGAGAGAGCTTGGATTCAGTCTGCCCGATTAAGTGAGGCGATGAGCACCTGCGGCGGCTAGCAGCTTATGCGCCGCAGGTCACCGAACACAGGCACGCATCAGCGCCTAAAAACCTCCTCACAACATGGTGAAGAGAGGACCCGGATTCGGTTTGCCTGATTGATAGGACTTTTAAGAACCTGTGGCAACTCTAGCAAGTAGAGCAGAGTGTGTGCCGCGGGACACCGAAGACAGGCGCGTATCAACGCCAAAAATAAAAAGAAAGGGGGATCTGTGGGGAGCAAACCGGACTAGACTGAGTTACTGGAATTAAGACTTATTCTATGCATCTGCTCTCCCACAATACGGCGCTGGGAGAGAAGTAAACAGTTTCCGCACAGCTGCCTCCAGTTCAACCAATAAACTGTAGGACTTGCTCCTGATTGGAGAGCAGCGTACTCGGCATGTGGGCAGCCGAGTTAGGATTGGCGGAGGAGGACTATAAAGGAGGAGAGAGACGGCATTCACGGGGAACATCTATGGGGAACATCTAGCTGAAGGAACACCTGTGCAGCCCCCGAGTAGAGCCGGCTGGCAGTGTGCCGCTCCCCTGCGGAAGTGGGGAATGTGGCCAGGGGGAACTGCCCTTCCACGGAGGTGGAAGGGATAGTAGCCAACCCGGGAAGAACCAGCAGCAAATCCGGGGAGGGCCGAGCAGACGAAAGAACAGCGCAGGGTCCTGTGTCGTTCCTCCACGAAGAGGGGGAGCGACAGTAACCAGTAAAATTGCTGCCTGAAGCGCTGGCATCCTATATGTGTACTGGTTCGAGTCCCAGCTGCTCCACTTCCAATCCAGCTCCCTGCTCATGCACCTGGAAAGGCAGCAGAGGATGCCTCAAGTACTTGGGCCGCTGCACCCATTTGAGAGAGCCAGACAAAGCTCCTGGATCCTGGCTTTGGAAGGGCCCAGCTCCGGCTGTTGTGGCCATTTGGGGGGTGAACAGCGGACATAAGATATGCCTCTCTATTTCTCTCTCTCTCTCTCTCTCTCTCTGTGTTGTGTGTGTGTGTGTGTGGTGTGTCGGCTTCTCTCTCTGTAACTCTGCCTTTCAAATTAAAAAATAAAACCTTTTCCATATAACTATAGTGGTAGGTACATTATCATACCAACACCAACAGAATGTAAACCACAGACTTTGGGTGATAATAATGTGCCAATGTAATCTCATTGATTATTAACACATGTACCACTCTGTTGCACAACAGTGATAGCACAAGAGGCTATGCACATGTGGCTGGGAGATACATTGCAACTCTGCATGTTTTAAAGAAATTTGCTGTGAATCTAAAACATCCCTTTAAAAGGTCTATTTTTTAAAAGGAGCAATTGGAAATTGTTTTTTTAAAGTGCAACAAGTGACATTTAAAATTTACTAAAGGTTTTAATCATTGAATTGAATTGGCTAAAAAAAGGCAAAAAGTATAGAGCAAAAAAAAAAAAAAGAATAAAGAAATATTAATAGAACCTTGGAGAAGTGCAGAGCATTACTGAGAACACCAATATATATGCCGTGAACGTATGAACAGGAAAAGAAAGAAATGAACAAAAATATATCCAAAGAAATAATGACTGAAAGCTTCCTAAATTTAATAAGCAAACATTACTCTGCAAATCTAGGAAGTTCAACCAACTCTAAGAAGGACAGACACAGAGAGATTCCCCACTCAGACACATCACAGTTAAAATGCTGAAAGAAAAAACTCTTAGAGACAGCAAGAGAAAAATGACTCATCACATACAAGAGAATTCTAAGAAAATGAAGAGTGGATTTTTCATCCATAACAATGGAGACCAGAAGGCAATCAGGAGATGTATTCAAAGTCCTCAAGGAAAAAAACCACCAACCAAGAATTTTATGTCCAGTAAAATAAACTTTCACAAATGAAAGTGAAATAGAAACACCCCCAGATAACAAAAATTGAGAGCGATCATTACTCGCAGACCTACCTTACAAGACTTAATACTAAAAGAAATATTTCAAGCTGATAGCAGGGGGTCCCAGACAGTAATCTGAATCCACACATTAAAAGAAAGAGTATTGCTAAATATAATGGCATAATGATAAAAGAATGAGGGAATGCATATTTCCTCTCCATTTTCTTTTAAGAGATTATTTTTAAAGATTTTTTGTTTGAAAGGCAGAGTTAGAGAGAGACAGAGATAGAGATATAGACAGAGACAGAGATCTTCTATCTGCTGGTTCACTCCCCAGATGGCCTCAATGGCCAGAGCTAGGCCAATCCACAACTTCTTCTGGGTCTTCTATGTATGTGCAGGGTTCCAAGTAACTAGTCCATCTTCAGCTGCTTTCCCAGGCACGTTAACAGGGAGCTGGACTGGAAGTGGAGCAGCCAGGACCTGATCCAGCACCCATATGGGATGCCAGCAACACAGGTAGCAGCTTAACCATTATGCCACAATGCTGGCCCCTCTTTTAATAAATTTTAAAAGCAATTGCATAAGATAATATGCATACAATTGTATTCTCATGCCTAAAACATTTAGAAATCTAATATATTTAAAATAATGGAACAAAGAGTTGGGAACAAAGTTATACTGGAATAGGGATAGATGATATCTTACATCACAGGCACAAATGAAGAAAGAGTAAATAAGAAAGCTAACATAAGAAACTCAGTAAGTATATTTTTTTTCTGTTCTTGGCTTCTTTAAAAACATAAAAATTATACAAAATGATGGCTACAACAATGTGTCTTAGAGTTTGTAATATATTTAAATATATTTAACAATAATAGCACCAAAGGGAGAAGACATAGAGCTCTATAGCAGCAGTATTTTTATATCTCACTGGAATTATGTTGTATAAATCACAAGTAAAGCATGATAAATTAACAGGTATGTGGCAATCCCTAGAGCTACTGCAAAAACTAAAGCTAAAAATAAAGGGAAAAAGTCACAAAAGTAATTTAAATGTTGCACTAGAAAGTATTCTCATAGCGTAAAAGAAAGCAGTGAAAAGGAAATAGAAAAAGAATAGAGGCACAGAGAGATGAAAACAAAAAGTTAAATTGCAAATGTGAATATGACTATATTAATAATTGATTAAACATGACAGGTTAAGTAATCCAGTCAAAACTCAGAAGTTGTCAGGCTGCACTAAGAAACATTATCCAACTGCACAATTTCTCTAAGAGACACACTTCAGACTCAAAGATGTGAATGGGTTGCAAGCAAATGATTAGAAAACAACCATGAGAAAGCTGGAAGGGCTATACTAATATCAGGCAAACCAGTCTCTAAAACAAAAATGTCACTAGATTAAAAGAGACAAATTTCATCATGATGACAAGACCAATGTAACAAGAAGATATGACTGCTACAAACATACATACCAGAAGCCAGCGCTGTGGCACAGGAGGTTAATCCTCCGCCTTCGGCACCGGCATTCCATACTGGCACTGGTTCTAGTCCCAGCTGCTCCTCTTCCAATCCAGCTCTCTGCTACAGCCTGGGAAAGCAGTAGAAGATGGCCAAGTCTTTGGACCCCTACACCCGAATGGGAGAACTGGAACAAGCTCCTGGCTCCTGGCTTAGGATCAGCCCAGCTCCGGCTGTTATGGCCATTTGGGGAGTGAACCAGTGGATGGAAGACCTTTCTTTGCCTCTCCCTCTCAGTGTCTGTAACTTTACCTGTCAAATAAATAAAATAAAATCTTAAAAAAACATACATACCAACGAGCCCAAAATACACAATGCAAAAATAAATAACACTGTGGCCAGTGTTCTGGTGCTTCTTGTGCGGCCTGTATCCTGCATAATGTGCCCCTTTGAGTCCCAGCTGCTCCACTTCCAATCCAAGCTTCCTGTTAATGCACTTGGGAAGGTGGCAGATGATGGTCCACGTTTGGACCCCTGTCACCCATGTGAAAGATAAGGATGGAATTCCTGGTTGCTGGCTTAGAACAGGCCCAGACCTGGCTGTTGTGGCCATTAGAGGAGTGAACCAGCAGATATATAGATAGATAGATCTCTCTCTCTCTCTCTTTCTCATTCTTTCTCTCTGTGTTGCTCTACTTTTTAAATAAATAAATAAATCTTTACCCGCAACCCCCCCCCCCAAAATAACTTAAGGAAATTAAAACAAGTCACCAATAATAGTTGGATATGCTAATTCCCCACTTTCAATCATGGATAGAAAAATGAGGAAAAACATAAGCAAGGATATAGAAGACTAAAACAACACTCTAAATCAGCCTGCGGAACCCTCCACCCAACAACAGCACAATTCACATTCTTCTCAAGCACACATGGAACATTCTCTAGAGTAGACCACATGTTTGGCCATAAAACAAGCTCAATAAATCAAAAGAGATTGAAACCATACAAGTATTTTTCTCTAACCACAATGGAATAAAATTAGAAATCAGAAACAAAAAATTGGATAAATTCACTAGTGTGTGGAAATTACACAACATATGCTTAAAAAAAAAAAATAGGCCAAAGAAGATTTCAAAAAGGATACCAGAAAATTCTTTAAGGAAAAAAAAAGAAAATACGACAAAGCAAAATGTATTAGATACAATGAAATCAGTGCTCAGAAGGAGATATATAGCTGTAAACACTTACCTTGAGAGAGAGAAAAAAAAAGATTGATCTCAAATCAATAACCTAAGCTTCTACTTTAAGACACTGGAAAAAGAAGAACAAACTAAATTCAAACAAACAAAGGGAATGAAATAATAAAGATCATCCCAAAACCTAATGAAATAGAAATTAGAAAAACATTGAAAAATTTAGCTAGCCAGATCAAGAAAAGATAGAAGACTCAAATCGCTAAAATCAGTAGTGAAAAAGAAGAGTTATAAGAGAGCACTATAGGCCGGCGCCATGGCTCACTAGGCTAATCCTCTGCCTGCAGCGCCGGCACACCAGGTTCTAGTCCCGGTCGGGGCACCGGATTCTGTCCTGGTTGCTCCTCTTCCAGTCCAGCTCTCTGCTGTGGCCCGGGAAGGCAGTGGAGGATGGCCCAAGTGCTTGGGCCCTGCACCCGCCTGGGAGACCAGGAGAAGCACCTGGCCAAAAAAAAAAAACAAAACAAAACAAAACAAAAAAAAAAAAACCACTATAAGCAATGCATGGAACAAAGTGGAAAATTAGAGAAAATGGCTGAATTTCTAGAAAAACACAGCTACTGAAATGCACTCAAGAAGAAATGGAAAACCCTGAGTAGATTTAATGCAAATTACATCAATTTAGTAATTTTTAATAACTTCCTACAAAGAAAAGCCCAAGTTCAGATGTTTTCAAGAATGAATTCTACCAATAACTTAAAAGAAAAACAGACAGCCATTTTTCTAAACACTCCCAATTAATCAAAGAAAAGGGAACTTTTCTTAACATTTTCTGTGAGTCAGTATTACCCTGATACTTAAAACAGACAAAAACATCAGAAAAACACTGCCAACCAATATAATTTATAAATATAGATGCAAAATTCCTCAAAACAATATACCAGATAACAAAATCCAGCAATATAAAAAAGGGATTAGCTATAAATACCACGGCAACTTTGGATCTATTCCAGAAATGAAAGCTAACCAAAAATTAAACAATATAATAAACTATATCAATAGAATAAAGGATAACAGCCATTTGATCACTTAAGTAGAATCAGAAAACCCATTTTTAAATATCCAACACCCTTCTACAATTTAATAAATCCCATAACTACCAATAAAGATAATTTCCTCCACTCAATAAAGGACTTCTATCAAAACATGTCTCTAACATCATACTTCATGATGAAAAACTGAAAATTTTCCCCCAAGATCAGGAACAAGACAAAGACTCCATTATCATCACTTCTATTCAACATCGTGCTGGAAATTATAGCCAGGGAAGTTAGAAAAGAAAAGCAAATAAGGAATAAATAAAGCTATCTCTAGTCATGATATAATATGAAGGGTCTCCAGTTCATGAAAAACATGTAACTCCTAAATACCCACACCAAAAACTTACCAGAGATAATTAATGAATTTAGCAAGATTTCAAGATATCAGACTGACACATAAAAATAATTTGATTATACACCAGCAATGAACAATTTGAAAGGAAATTAAGAAAGCAATTGTTTACAATAACATTAAAAAAAAAAGAATACAAAAGAAGTGTAAAACTTGTACTCTGAAAACTACCTAATTGTGGGATGAAATTAAAGATCTAAATAAAAAGACATTCTGTGTTCATGGACCAGAAGATTTTATATTTTCCATGGTTACAATACTCTCTGGATTGATCCACACATTCAGTGCAAACACTATACAATCCTAGCTGAGGGTCAGACTTTGGGCAAGTGGTTGACTCCACTTGGAATGTGTACATCTCATATTGAAGTTCCTGGGTTCAAATCTCAGCTCCATTCCTGATTCCAGTCTCTTACTAATGTTCATCTTGGGCGGCAGTAGGTGATGGTTTAAATATATGGGTCCCTGCCACCCACATGGGAGACCCAGACTTGACTCCTGGTTCCTGACTTCAGCCTGGCACAGCCCTAGCTATTGTGAACATTGAGAATAGAATCAGAACCAGCAGATAGGCGATTCTCTCTCTCTCTCTCTCTCTCTCTCTCTCTCTCTCTCTATCTCATCTCCCTTTCAATTTTCAGATAAATACATAAAATTTTAAATAATTAATTAAAAGTTCTGGCTTACTTCTTTGTAAAACTTGATAAGATGATCTTAAAATCCAAATGAAATTTAATAGGACCCAGAATAACCAAAAATCCTGAGGACTCACCCTCCCCCATTTCAAAATTTGTGCTAATGCTACACTGACCAAGATATGCTTGAGCTGGTATGAAGATATACATACATACATGCATATATATATATATATGATGTATATTATATAGAGATGGAATAGAATTCAGAATTCAGAAATAAAGCCTCAGATTTACTTTCAGCCGATTGATTTTTGACAGGGGTGCCAAGAAAAGTCAATGGGAAATTAATTATTTTGTCTACCACTGGTGATGGAGCAACTGGATATCCACACATAAAAAAAATGAAGTTAGATTCTTACCTCAAACTATATACAAAACCAAACTAAAAATGGACTGTAGACTTGCTAGGGGCTGAATATTTCAGTCCCTCTGAAATTCCTCTGGTGGACCCTGTTCACCAATGCAACCATATTAAGGAATGGGGCTTCAGATTGTGCTGAGGAATAGGATTGCTGGCCTTATAAAAGGGACGGAAGGAAACTTGGTTGTCCCGTACACTGTGTGAGGACACAGTAAGAAAGAACCAGCTGTGAGGAACAGGCCTCATGAGACAATGACTCTGCCGGCCCTTGATCTAGGACTTTCAGCCGTCAGAACCTTGAGTAATAAATTTATATTCTTTACAAATTATGTGGTATAAGATATTTTTGTTCCATTAGCCCAAACAGACTAAAATATGACTACATATAAAAGCTAACACTATAAAAGTCTTAGAATCTGGGAGAGAAGCGAATCTCCATGACCTCAGGTTATGCAAAGCCTGCTTAGATATGACAGCAAAAGCACGAGTGATAAGTGAATGAAATAAATAAAGCATAACAAGAATGCATCAATATTGATAATTCATACTTCAAAGGATATCATCAAAAAGTGAGAAGTCAAAAAATACTTGGAAATCAGATGTCTAATTAAGGACTTGCAACTGGAATTTATAAAGAACTCTTAAAACTCTAACAAAATGGCAAATGTCCACATTTAAATATGAGCAAGGTACACGAAAAGATGTTTAAAAAATTCCTCATAAGAGAAATGAAAATGATGAGCTCAGTGGGATACTGCTTCACACCATTAGCATGGCTATAATTGTAAAAAATAGCAGCTCATCACATATGCTGGGATTATGTGGAGAACTCAGACCCTTCACACACTGCTAGTGGGAATGTAAACTGGTACAGCTGCTTTTCAAAAACAGTCTAGGGGCCGATTCTGTGGCACAAAGGGTTAACGCCCTGGCCTGAAGCGCTGGCATCCCATATGGGCACTGGTTCGAGACCCAGCTGCTCCACTTCCAATCCAGCTCTCTGCTATGGCCTAGGAAAGCAGTAGAAGCAGCAGAAGATGGCCCAATGCTTGGGCCACATGGGAGACCTGGAAAAAGCTCCTGGCTCCTGGCTTCAGATTGGCCCAGTTTCAGCTATTGCAGCCCTTTGAGGAGTGAACCAGTAGACAGAAGATATCTCTCTCTCTCTCTCTCTCTCCTGTCTCTCTCTCTCTCCATATCTCCCTTCCTGCTGTAACTCTGTCTTTCAAAGAAATAAATAAATCTTTTTTAAAAAGGAGTCTGGTATTTCCTAAAACAATTAGACATAAAGTTAAAATATGACCCAGCAATTCTGACCCTAGGTATATGACCAAAGGAAATGAAAATGAGAGATGTGGCAACAGTGAAGACACCACTTGGGATGCCTGTATCCCATACCAGAGTGCCTGGTTCAAGTCTCAGCTCCTACATTTCCAATCCAGGTTCCTGCTGCTGAGTCCCTGGGAGACAACAGATGATTGTTCAAGCAGTTGGCTCCCTGCCACCCATGTGGAAAACCCAATTGAGTTCTGGGATCCTGGCTTTGGTCTGGCCCTGCCCTTGTTATTGTGCTTTTGTAAAATAAATAATGACTGAGGACCTGCTTCT